TTTTTTTTTTGTGTTTTTGTTTGGGGGGGGGGGGGGGGGGAATATTTGATTCTTAAATTATTACAAGTCAAACAAATCTTTTTATAAAAGTTACATGCTATGTAATTGATTTTTTCTTTATTCATTATTCTTTCTTCTTAAAGAAAATCTTTGTACAAATATTTCTTTTTTACAGTAGGTTAAGAAATAGTTTACTACATTATATCGGACGTAAGTATTACAATATCGAGAATAGTGACTAATGATAGATTGATACAAGATGTCTACTATTTAGAAAAACTTGGAATTCTCAGAGAAATTTTTTGAAAAATTAAGTTATTCTCTTGGAATTTTATTAGGATTCGAAGAATTTTATAATCTTTTAATTATTTTTAATATTGCACTGAGTCCTTATATTAAAAGTATAGCCGTCAATTCGCTAGTGAAAAGAGCAATCACATTACGAAGGCGTAGAAATTCTTGCTAATAAAATGTTATGCAGATGAAAGTTTATATTTTATAAAAATCATTCAATTCTTTTCAATAGTATTTCAAATCCTAATATTCGAAATTTAAGTAACTCTTCACTTTTTCACTGTGATATCACAAGAATATAAAACATGCACATAATAAATAATTAAGTTCGTTTTACAGTTGCATACAAAAATTCTCTGATTTTATCTGGAATTTTAGAACTACTTCAAAAAAGTAAAAGGAAAGTTAAAGAAAATTCAATTAGAAAATTTGAATAAACACTAATGGCAATTATAAAATGAATAATTATAAAAAGAAATAAAGATATGCAGTGTAAACGGCACATCAAGCTTTTTAAAATTCGCAAAATTTCTGTGTAGCGTATGCGATTATGTAAATTACTCTTTCTTATGTATAGGGTCACGTGGATACCCAACAACCTTATCCAGCTAACGGAAACACCGCGGCTTTGTCACTTATACCAAACTTGCAATTATTGCCAGGACAATTTGGAACACCTGGCCTGGCGGAAATCCCTCCGAATGAACCGAATAAGATAGATCCACCAGCATGGGGAATGCCTGATGCCGTGCAAGACAAGCAACATCAGGTAAAATTTTTTCCTGATTCTGGTAAGATTTCTTCGATATTATATTTGAAATTTATTTCAAAAGATAGTATTATGTTGCAGGAAATTATGTGTACGACATGTTAACTTCGTTTACTTTCAGACGTGGACTAAATGGACTCATTAAAAAACCAAATCACGTTGACACAGCTTCAACCTTTAAACCTGACGATGGAAATTTTGCAATTCGTAGTAGTAATAGTCTTGAAATCGTTTAATTATTTGTAGGCGCATAAATTTACGATCTTATTCAATCCCAGATTCTTTATATTACATATCATGCTAAAAACATGAAGTCCTTAATTATTCAACTTATTGCTATTATTAGAATATATCAACTTAATTATAATGTAAAGAGTATAAAAGAGAAACAGAAAGAATAAAAGCCCGTCTACATTTCTATTCGCAAAACGTAAAGAACGCAGATGATGCGTTTGCAAATTGCAAAAAGTTGGAGTTTATTTAACTTATTGCGTGCCAATACATCATTCTGCGTCTGCATTTTGCGAATAGCTATCCATGTAGACGGTCCTTAAAATCAGAAAAAGGAAACAATAGAATGATAGTAATTTGACGGTATGATCACTTCAGGTTTGGATATTAATCGCGCGGACAGTCGCATGCTCCTATCAGTTATTAATTAGCACGAATCATAATTAATAATAATTGAACGTTAATAATGATTATTTTTTTCCTATTATTGGAAATAATCTGAATTTGCAATACTTGAAATATCTTGAACAAGACACTCCCCAGGTCTATCGCGATGAGATCTATAAACGCACATTTTTACGTTTTACGCTATCACTTCAGCTTCTGCAGTAATGATGATTAACTAGCTTGGAATCAATTTGAGCTTTTACAAAGCGGAATTTTTTGGTTCGATGATTGATATAAATTATGAGTTATTTACAATAAGGGCAGCTGTTCTTCTTTATACCAGATAATTAATGAAAAGAGATTATTGCGTTATTATTTAAAAGATTTGCTGTAATAATATGATGTACGAGTATAAACAGTTGTATAAATACTTGCTTCGTAATTTCGATTACTTCCATTGCAAAGTGAGGTCGAAGAATAAGCAAAAGATAGAGAGACATAGAAGAATCTTACAGAAAACTGTCAACTTCATTAAAAAAAGAAAAAAAGAAGAAACGAAAAACTGGATATTATTCCTTTTCCACCTTTGCACCTGTGCTTGAATCCGTAATTATCATTTTGCGGTATCTGACCATTTTTTTTAAAGCGTGGTGCTGTGCCCAGAACAGATCTGCTAAGAAAAAAAAGCATTTTTTTTTGCGCTAAACTCCCGATTACGTCTAGTCGCGCTGAGCGCGTCTATTGTTTGGCATAGCTTCAATTGTATAGATCTCATTAGTGGCTATACGTTGGTGTTATGTCAATAAACAATTGAAGATACGTACGAAATCAAGACGAACAATATATTATTGAGGTTTCAGTTGTCCAGCCGGCTAGGTATATCTTTTTTTTTATTTTTTTTTTACTTTATAGGCACAATTATTAATCAATCATCATAACGTTTTATTTCAAGCAGATCAACCGGACAGATTTGTATGATACTCCTAGCGAGTTTTAAATCAAGCACATACATACACATATTATACACACACACAAAATATACACGCCACGCGTAAATGACCATGTTCTTGAAATCGAATTTATCTAAGCATTATAAGAAATGTCACGAACCGAATATACACTGTATTAATAATATGTGCACCGAATTCCTTATTCAGATCAATGAATATTGTTCATTGTTAAAGTGGTAGTGGGCCGCCAATGCATAAAAAATATAGCTGTGCGTCCCTAGTACGACAGTGCTATTATAATATTATTGCTGTGTGGTGGTAATGTTTATTATTATATTATAGTTATTATATATTATACACACAAGACATAAATATAAGAAAGAAAGAAACAAGTACACATAGAGAAATGTTACCCGCTATTTCGGCTGGACTTAGTAATAATATAATAATATTATATAGATATATATTCGATATATATGAAATGTTCATTTTGATTGAACATTTGAAAATCTTTCTTGGTGGGGATTTCGGCAAGTGTTCAATACATAGCGACGATATAATGTAATTGAAACGATCCCCCAGACGCTATAAGTTTCAATGACATGATGATATGAAGCTCATGGAAATCATATAAGGGCTTTTTGACCTATATTCCAAGGAGCGCTTCAATTATTCTCTAAGAGTACATTGTTATAATTTAAAGCCTATTTTCAAATTTGATTTATGATAACTGCGATATATATGATATAAAACTATTATATGACATATAACAATAAAGCAAATAAATAAATATAACGACGATAAATTTATTCTCTTTTTAATCATATTTACTCCTATCACATGTTTTCTTCACAATTTCATTCAGAAATGTCTCGAGACCTCGTGTATTTAATTTTTATTTCTATTTTTCTTTGAATGTACATTTTATTCATATAAATGGCTCTTTTATTATTTGTAATTTTTTTTATTAATAAACCTTTCACAAACGGATGCAGAAAGTTTCAATTTCAAAGTTGCAAGATTATAAATTTTTATTATTTTTATTTGCGCAATTACTTATTTTAAAGATCTTGATGGTTTCTTATTGACGTTAGAAGTGAGAAATCAATGAGTTTTTTCTTGCAAAATAAATATCCAGACGCAAAATACGTCCAAAAAACATTTCGAAGCTGTCTTAAGAACTTGTGTTGCCAAAGTAAGTTTTTTTTTTAATACGATTAATATCGTGTGTTCGATAATATGGTTCGATCATATAACTTTCTCTGCTAAAATATATAACGATTAATAATTTTAACAGGTTTTATTTATTTATTTTGTAAGATTATAAAATCTCGTTCATTTTATTGATTTTTATGGGAAGGAAAATAAATACAACAGTTTTATTATAGAAAAACGTTTAATTTAAGAGATAAGCTTATACGTTAATAATACCGAAGAAACAGGAAACTTACAAAGTCTGTAATAGAGAACAATTTTATATATATAATAGTCATATTACATTAAATAACAAATTATAAAAAAAATGTATATAATATTTACGATTTTGTTACTTTGCTGTATCATTGAAAATGTTAAAACATTTAATCGTGATGTAACATAAATTACATCTCCAATCGAACATATAATCTTTTTGTTTTATCATCGATTCAGTTGATACGATAACAATCGCAATTTATAGTAAAAATAATAAATATTTATACGTGACAGAGTATATTCATATAGAAATTTACTGTACTGCACAAAAAAAGTTGTTTCTTTCTTTCTCTGAATCGATTCTTACGTATAATCGTCACTATATAAAAAATATATTTGTATAACAAATATATTTTTAAATGTATATAATATTACATGATAACGGTTCTCGAATAACATATCTTGTAATCATATACAAAATACCTTTTAGACTTCCTTTTAAGTAGCTAACGCGCGCACAAGTAAATAGTAATTAAGTAAAAATATATAAATCCCAAAAAATTAATTCATCATGAATGAACAATAATTATATGCATGATAATTTAAAAAAATTAATTCATTTAATGTCCGATATTATATTCGTTATTGTGTACATCGTCGATCACAAAAAATCCAAGTTTCCAAAGATTTGTGAAATCACGCGAATCGGGACATCTGGAAATCCTTTAGTTATTCACACATACTCGCGTATGTATATATATATATATATATACACTCATAAAAAAACAATATATATATATATATATATATCAAATATAAATAAAAGGAAAGGAGAATTCACGAAGCATAATACCTAATCTGCCTTTTGCCCATCGTTCAGCAAAAAAAAGTGATAGATAAAGGTTTGTACAAAACGAAAAATAATTCTCGTGTATGTGTGTGGTCTAATCTTATTAAATCACTATCTGTTAGTGTAAGGAACCAAATGCTATTTCGAACTTTCTGCGAATTATCGCTGTAGCGAGAGTGTCCCTGCAACGAAACGATTCTTCTAGAATTGTCTCTCTTATATATATATAACAGAATAATGTAAAATAAAATCTTATATGCATGTTTAGAAATGTATTATATATGTTTACTTATCGTGTTCATCTCTCTCTTTCTCTCTTCCTTTCTTTTTCTTCTTCTCATGCGCACACATACATACTTTAACATATTTCATATTTGCAATTATATATTTCAAACATTACTCACACAATGCAACAGCATTGAATCAAAGTAAGTTTACGTCCATTGTAATTATATATATAATAAACTTGTACACACAACCGCATTTTCTATTTCTTACAGATATACGTTGCAATAATGACTTTGACAGAACCGTTCTTTTGTTGTGTATACAAAACGTTTTAACCTGCACCTAGTTTTCGCATTATTCTTATACATGTTCTTTTTCATAATTTATATGATCACACACATGTGTTTTCGTTCATTTATGCATCTGCAGCTGCAGATTAATAACGGTTTGTCAAACATTATTGCATCTTTTTATTTTAATCTTGTAAATTCGCTATTCTATTTTTTTTCTTCTGGCTCATATAAAAATAACATGCAATGCGAAGCTATCCAACATTGCTTTGTACATTCGCCCGTGCTCCAATAAAACAAAGTTGAACTTAACGAATCTAAAGAGAGTGTTCTTATTGCAAAACTATGATGATTATTTGTATTATCGGGACGCGAAAAGCTATTAATATAACTTAATGGTAGAATGTGAGTGTGATTGCGCCAACATGTCGGCCGATAAAGATTTCATAAGAAATAGAGGTCTTATTTATTTATTAAAAATTCGATTAATCTTTCTTTTTAATGTGAATAATTCTTGCAAATATGTTTTATAATTAAATAAAAAAATGCATTAAATAAAACTGTTCCGTTTATAATAGAAATACACCATTTGTAATGAACTATCATTCCTCTCTTTCTCAAATTTGTAATGAAAGAAGATCTCGACTAATATTAGCGATTCTAATCATAATGACAGAAATAGCAATGCATGTAATATAAAACTAATATTAGTATTTAATTTTTAATTAATACTAGCATAGTATTAATGTATAATTTGTCAATATGTTGTTTTATATCATTAAATGAAGTATTAATTCTATTATTATTCACCAAAGTATTCTCAAATTAAAAATCACAAAAAAGCTATTTGGGGCTCAAATTGTTATAGATTTACAGTTCCAACAAAGACATTTTCCATGTTATTCCGTTCATGTGTACTTAAAATGTAATTACATGCATTTTGATAATAAAAGACATGTGCACACTAGTGCACATTAGTGCATCCAATTAAATTCGCTATTAGTTTCTATCTGTCATTTTAGTTGCATTTTCTACATTTCTTGTTTTTTTTTTTTTTCTTCGTTTATCTTCTTTCATATAATTGTTTCACTTTAATTAAATACGATGAGTGTAAGACCATGCAGCCAAAATGAGCAAATCTGAATCATTTAGAACATTACATTAGATGCAATAAATCGCGATTTTTATCAACTGGGGTTTAATACATTTAAGATTAATCTCATTTACACATTATCGCACAATTAGGACAAAATGTTGTGTCACACTCTCGCTATGTTTGAAACATCGATATATACATTTTACGAGTATAAAGTAGATTAAATAGACTACATAATTCATATTGTAGAATAGTACATTAAGCTACACACAAGCAGTTTTGATCATTTTCATATATGATCTTCATATAGACAGAAACAATTATTAGTTGTGTTATTAAAATGCGACTCGAGGGTGATACATTTCATGTATAAGACTAATGATACCTTATGTACATTATCATGGGCACTGCAAATTTGCATTAAATAACATTATTTAAAATAATCATTTAAAAACAAGGAAAATATGGAATTTTGTGCTTAACAAATCCCTTGATCTGTTACTTGAACGTAAAAAAAATTTCGAAAAAAATTCCGACTAAATAAACATTATTATATGTATGTGCATTGGGCTCTGTCTACATGTAATAATTAACATATATCTTGCTTCGTAACCGAGCCGATAAAAATTGCACTGTTTATCATCCTATACAAATAATCTCAACAAACTTTGATAAAAATTGATAAAGAAACAGTGATCGAAACTAACCACTACGTTCGGGCATAGCTCCAATTCAATGCTGTTCAGCACTATAAGAATTACTCGCCCATTTCGCATCATTATTTTGACCGTCAGTATCAGCGTCTGCTCCCTCCGACAGATCGTCATCCGCACCTGAATAACAAAAAAAATATTAAATAATTAATAAATCAATAGGTTATACATAAAATTATCAGAGCACGAGTTTAAAAAAAAATGAAACTTGGTATCTGGGGAAAAAAAAGAAAAAAACAACTTACATGTTTCTTCTTCTTCATCCTCCTCTTCTTCTCCTGAAGAAGAGTCGCTATCACTATCTGTGCTCTCGGAATTTGCCGAGAGGGAACACTGATCATAATCTTCAGGTTCGGAATAGACCTCCGCACCGGGAAAAATATATCTACCTGGCGCCAACTGGTAATACGAATTTTCTGCAAAGGATTACAATTAATATTTGTATAATTTATTCGAAAGTGTTAAAGTATTTGTCAAAATAACATACCTGGTAACCTAACGGCGAGGCTCTCTCGAGTTTTTGGTTGCCAGCAATGTCTTTCTAAACTTCTATTCTTCAATTCAGCAATATCAAACTTCTCCTCCGTGCTATCGACACTATTACAACTGTCACCTATACCAGAATCCAAGATGGAATCCACCGATGCTTGCCTCGGCTTAGGTGTTAATTTGTCTGTTTCGACAGTATCCATCATTACGGTATTGTCATACTTGTTTGATTTTCCACAATTGTCTAGCGATTTATATGATAAAGTATTTTCGCTTATGATAGCTTCCGAAGAAAGGGACAATGTTACTGGCACCACTTGACATTCCTTGAAATTCTTTTTAGACATTGATGCAACATGAAATCTATTTTCTAATGAAGTCATTGCACATTCAACATTCATTTTTGCCGGTGATATGGAACTTTTCGATTCACATGAGCTACCAAAATTCATCCTTTTGGAACTGTTTTCTACACTGGTATCACCTGATCGTCTCTTTGGACTCTCTTCGAAAAGATTGAAGCTTTCCTCTGCATCTTTGACACATTGACCAGTATGGAAAGACGATATACAGACATTGATGTTTTCTGTATGGTGTAATATTGCATTAGTAGTCTTCAGTAGGCCGTTTTGATTTTCAGTCGTGGGTACGTTTTGAGGCTTAAAATCAACTTCTATACTATCTCGTGACAGTTCAGTGTTACTTGTTGTATCTTGATTCTGTTCCCACATGTCGGACGAATAGCGCAATGACAGAAGTTGTGAAGCTTCTTTCAAGATTTTATCATACCAACAGACTTCATTATAAGTGTCACCCAACCTGCCATAATGCCAATAGATTGCGATTTTAATTATCATAATTAAAATTAATCATAGCATTGAATATTAATTAAATAAAAATTTATTATATATATGTGCGCATTTATGGTAATATTTATATCACATGCACATAAAACTTTAATGTATAAAAGATTAAATAACACTAAAACATATTTTGCACAAACAGGATGTCTAGTCAAAGATTGTAAAAAAAATTCCCTGAAAACTGTCTGATCTTCCAGGTATTTTTATTAAAAATTTCTGGTAAGAAAGTTATTTTAAAGATTATGTACAATTTTTTAAAGTAAGATTTTTTTATTATATGCGTTTTCATTTTATTTATAGAAAAAATACAGAGGTATTTAAGTTTCAAGTGCTAGATTTGCAAATGTATTGAAAAAAAATTGAATAGTTTTCATAAATATATATTTTTTTTGTTAAGACATTCAATATATAAACAGAGACAGATATATATTCAATATATTCAATATATAAACAGAGACAGATATATATATATTTGTAATATATTTTAAACACAATTCACAACTTGGCTTATCGGTAGATTGCCGATAGCTTATAATATAAGAGCAAAATTAACAGAGAATTTTTAAAAAAATTTTCCGAGTCCCAATAAAAATTCCTGAGAATTTCAAGTTTTTCATGTTTTTTCCAGGAAGCAGACACCCTGTTAAAGTCCTTTCATATAAAAAATAGATTATAAACTTCTTACTTACAAATGGCATATTTGATTTATAATAATGTCACCATCGCCTAATAGCTCAATGTCGAATTTGAGATGTGGCAATGGTTCTCGGTTAATGAGAATCTGTGGCACATGCGACGGAATGGACGATGGAATTAGAGCTACCGGCCGAACCTTCAAGGACGAACCAATAACGATTAGAAGATCACAATCGTCTTTGTCTTTGGCCATTGCATCGTGAAAAGCGTCTGGAAGTCCTTCACCGAAGAAAACGATATCTGGCTTCATTATACCTTGCGATACCAAGTCTGAAAATTTAAAGACAAAATTTAATTTAATTAAATAGTAATTACTTTTTTTAACTTAATGGATAATTTTCTCAAAATGGCGTTTTTTTTTTTTGCTCAATCGTAACACACAATACTGTCAAATTGAGGAAATGATAAACGACAAAAACCGTTGCTCTAAATAGCCACGAAACACGGCACTCACGTAAGTAAGTGCAATCTTATAAGTTTACCTTTATGTGCTTATTAACAAGCGAAGCTTTATTCGCAGTTACGATTGATGTACCGACTTATGTGTTGGATCAGTAACTTCATTTAGTTTGAGACGTAGAAGAGTAGATAACGTTCTCTCATTGGCCATCAACTCGCGACACTATAGCAAAGGCTTAAATAACGGAAAACTATCACTAAAGATAGCTAACTCTCCATATCATATTGAAATTGATAAGCCGTTACGAAAGACTGCAAATAAATAACTATCAGCAAGAATTATACAAAAACAAATTTCTTTATTTACCTCTGTAATTCTCGCTGCAATTAATTTCGGATAGAGAAGGCAACGCGTTGACACGGCATTTCGGGCATGTAGGTATCCTTTGTGTGAAGATATCTTCCCTAACATCATCTGCTTTCACTTGGTATTTACATCTTGTACATGATGCAGTGGCAAAAGAGCCTTTAATAAAAAATATTAAATAATTATAAAACACTAAGTACATAACGTAAACTGCATACATTTTTAAACAATTTATTGTAAATCTGCTTGAAATTGGCCATGATAAATAATGTTCCATTATCTATTTTTATTCTAGAATCTTAGAAAAAAAATTTTTCAGATTCTTATATCAAACTTTCTATCTCAATCATAAAACATATATTGATTATTTAAAATATATATTTAATAAAAATTAATATCCAAAAAAATATTTAAATGTGTAAAATATCATTCAAATATTCTTTATATAATAAATAAATAGTAACTTACCATGGCATTCAATTACATTTTTAATACCAGCCACTTGTTCCAAAGTGTCAATATTTTGCGAATAATTCCTCAAGAGCTTCTTCTGCTTCTCTAACATTTTGATGAACCTGTGACATGGGCTGGGTTTAAATTGTCCTGGATAGATCTCACATGCAAATTTGTAAAATGGCCTGGGATCTTGGCTAAAATAATTAATGTCAAACATAGCCTGAAAATAAATCAAGAAATAAAAATTATATATGAATTTCTTTTAACTGTAAGATATATAGTCTCGAAACGTTTATTAATATTAATTCTAGCTGTTTGTAACTCAGATAGCTATAAAGCTGAGATTTAAAATTTTAATACCTGTGGGTCTGGTAAGTCTGGAAAATCCTGTGCTAGTCTCGAATAAATACCATCTTTACTTCTAAAATCAGGAATACCACAACTAACGCTAACACCCGCGCCAGTCAAGACTATAATTTTCTTGCTATTGCGAATTAATCGTACCGCATCCGATAAGGTATTTATATGTCTAAGCTTTTGCCGCCTCGGAGGTTCTGACATCATATTGATTATAATCTGAAATTCGTATAATTCATTGTTATATTTATTTAACTATTTCTTTTTATCAAAACTTAAACAAGATGTCTACCCAAATCTTATATAAAAAAAAAAAAAAACTTTGATTTTCCAAGTATTTTTGTTCAAGATTCCAGGTAAAGAGAATATTTTAAAGGTTTTCTAGTGCAACTTTTTAAAATAAGTTTTTTTTTTAAATTGTGTTTTCTATTGTTTTCTATGTTTTTTATTCATACAAAGAAGAAACAGAACCATTTAAGCTTCAAATGTTAATTTTGCAAATGTACTAGAAAAAACTATATAGCTTTCGTAAAATGAACATTTTTCACTTGCATAACTATATTTCCATTTTTTGATTATTAAAAATATCCAATAAAAAAAATATAAACAAACTAATTTAATAAAAGAAATATATACTGTATATTCAATATTTTGTTAAGACATTGAATATATATAAACACAGAGATATATATTTATAATATATTTTAAACACACATAATTCACAATTCATAATTCCGATTGCTTACAATATAAGAAAAAAATTATCAGAGAGAATTTTTCTTTAACTATTCCCAGATTCCCAATAAAATTCTATTAGAATTCCCATTAGATTTTTCCAGATATAAAAGAAATTCCTGAGTATTCTAGATTTTCCACGTTTTTTCAGGGATTGGATACTCTGTTAAATTATCTTATTATAAAACTACAAAATATATTCTATACCTTCCATAATGTGAGATCGTCAACTTGCTCAGGAATCAATGTGGAATCCATAAGAAGATGATGTAGGAGATCCCTTGGATCTGCACCTGTCAGCATCTGCTTCTGAATCCATGAAGAAGCATTTCTCCATTGATGACTGACTTCTGCATCTCCAGAAAGATCAGACAAACCTGATAAGTCTGATAAATTTGAGACAGTAGAGGACATCTCGTCTTTCTCGTCTGTAGTATCGATTCTGAAATATTATATTAAACTCAAATAAAACTTACAAAAGGCTCTGATAAATATAATAAATATAAGGAAAGCCAGGCAATATGAGCCAGCGCAGTGTGGAAAGCACAAAAAATATATAATAATAATAATAATTAACAAACGCAAACGTTTTGGTCCCTTTTTTGGATCTTCATCAGCGTATTGGTGTAAATTCAGTTAAAATTAAATTGGAATAATAGTCGGAGTCATAAAATATAAAAAACTAAAAAGTCCGATCTTTTAGTTTTTTATATTTTATGACTCCGACTATTATTCCGATTTAATTTTAACTGAATTTACATCAATGTGCTGATGAAGCTCCAAAAAAGGGACCAAAACGTTTGCGTTTGTTAATTATTATTATTATATATTTTTTGTGCTTTCCACACCACGCTGGCTCATATTGCCTGGTTTTCCTTATATTTATTATTACATTAAACACTTTGTAATTTAAAAAAAAAGAAAAAAGAAAAAAAAACTTTTTTATTAAATGTTGTAGAAAAAAAATTTTACCGCTATTCTCTATGTGTACAATATTTATAAATCTTAATTATCACATTATTATTTTTCTTTTTATAATCTTTTTTTTTTAATAATAATAAAAATAATAATTGAATTTAAATAAAGTTATTAAATTTTATGTCAAAATTTGCTATTAGTAATCAAATTATTCATTGGACTTGTATAAATCAATATCAGATGAGATTGGCATGTAAGTATAGTTACAAATTTGGGTGCAAGTTCTTTACAAATTTAATGTTGCAAACTATATCATTGGCCAAGTTTGATCATTTATAATTTAATAATTTGTAGTTTTGGCATTTCTGTATTAGAATTTTCGAATCTATTTTATTTTTATAATACATTATTATAATATTGTATAATAGTACAAAATACTCTTTGTATGTATATGTGTGTGCATGCTCAAATATGTACTTATTGTTAGTATGTACATATAATATAATACATGGCTACATAAATATGTTCTAGTAAAAAATTGCTTGCAAATAGAACTTACGTGCAACCAGTACCATTACTAGCAGAATCAATTCTAGACGATGGTGATTGTAGATTTATAATTGCAGGAGATATGGATGTAGATTTAGATTCATCACTCAGTTCATTAAATCCACTGTCTGCACCAAGTATTTCTATATAATGCAAAAATATATTTAATAGCTTACATTATAGTATATTAGACTAACTTACATATAATAATACATTGTATAAACAGTAAATATAAAATATATGATGTTATCAGTTTAGAAAAAAAATCCGTGTGATTATATTTTCTTCTTTATTAATTTTCTAATTTATGTTTCATTTAACTTATTTCTCTATATATATTTAATTTGACGCTTAAAAAAAAATATATATATATATATACGCGACTTAAGAGTAAAAAATACATAAGAAAAGTTGTTTAATATATATCTAATAGTAAAAAATTTAAAAATAATTAATATATATTTTTCGTTGTTTCATTATCGATATAATTGTGTAATAATAATAAAATAATTGTGCGCAAATAAAAAAATATATTTAAAAAAATGCGTTTAAAAAATTCAAAATTTAAATTGTTTAATTTAAAAATTAATTTCTCTCTCTCTCTCTCTCTTTTACTTTAGTAATAAAAATATATTAAAATAATGTAATTTAAAAAATTAATTTCTCTTAATATAGTTATATTTCGCGCCAAGTAATATTTAAACGAATATTCCGAAACATCTCGATTCAACAAAATGGCGGAAGTGTATCGCATGTAAAATCTGGTAAGATATAGGAAATTTGTTCTTCCTTCGAGATTTCGAGAGCTGGGAATAAAAAAATTTATTTCATATCAAATGCGGAAAGTGTTATTGAAATAAACTAACTAATTAACGAGAAAATAAGCGTTGCAGAGAAAGAGCAAAGAAACAGAGTACAAAAGGTGCAGCTGAAACAAACGAACATACGAATGCCATCTGTGAACATTTTAATGAGGACGCGATGACCGAACGCGTAACCAGTAGTTCCGAACACGATCGATTTTATCGATCGACTCGTATTTCTAAAGAGTAAAAGCATTTCGATATTTCGAATAAAAAAAGAAAAAGAAATATCCTATAGGATCGTAGCGTGACGAGAAATGTATGACCATCGATGAAAAAACGGTGGCTACGAAATTGCGACGCAATAAACTGCGACTGTCATGGCGGCCAGATAACGCGACGAAGGATCGAGAACACAATGGCGAGGCGAAAAGCGTTCAATGGCTGCCATCTTGTGTGCAAGAAGCACCCGCGAATTTTGCGATAATCGCGACGATCGCGTATAATCGTTATTAGACGATTCTGATACCTTCGAATTCGTCGTGCGGGCTATCACGTGGTGGGCCGGTGAGCCGTTGTTCATCCAGGGTCGCGACGACGTTCCCCCCGTGATCGCCGCCATCGATCTTACGACGTTTCACTGGGGACGAATATTCCAGCAGCTCCGAACTCGACGCCATTTTCGACAGCAATGCTGAGCAATGCGGCGAATAATGTCATGTACTCTGGCTAGTCATTCGCTCCGCCAGAGGTCGCCCCAGTCCTCCCGGCTTTCCCTTTCCCCCAAAGTTTCTTCCTACCTATTTCATACGCTTTTTATATGCTTCATATATAGCTGTACAAGATATTCACACAAGGTATATCTATATACTTCCTGGGAAATCATGAAAAATCTGGAATTCTCATAGAAATTTTTTTTGTGTCTAGGAAAGTCGAGGAATTCTCATGGAATTTTATTGGAACTTGGTAAATTTTTTAAAAAATTTTTTCTCTTTGTTAATTTTGATCTTTATCATAAGCAGTCGGTAACCCATCGATAAGTCAAGTGAATTATGTGTTTGAAATATATTATAAATATATATCTGTTTCTGTGTTTATATATTCAATGTCTTAACAAAATATTGAATATGTAATACATATTCTTTTTATTGTAATTTGTAATAAAAAAATTAAAATGTTATGCAAGTAAAAAATTTTTGTCTTCCGAAAACTATTCAGTTAAAACAACGAAAAAAATTGCTGCTGAACAAAATCTATCTTAATTTATCTAGTCTCATTGTAATCTCATCTTAAATGCGTGAGCTATCGATATGGGCCTAAGATTCCGCCCTTATAGAAAAGTTAAGTTGATTGGCTATCGCATTGCTTTTTGTCACGCGGCAAAAGTCGTCGCGTCCTATGTGCAGGAGCCGTAATAATTCTATCCAAAACCGGATATTCCCCACTCTTGGGAGCAGAGATGGCGCTGAAAATCATCATCTTTTCTTCTAAAAGGAAACGTGTACAACACGTCTCCTGCATCTTTCTTTCCACTATTAGCATTGAGGTGAGTAAGACGTCCATTCTTTTATTCTCTTTCTTTTCCATAATATGTAATTCTGCGAGAATACTTATTTTTATCTAGTTGCGGGCAAATTTTTCAAGCTGCTTTGCTCCGTCAGTGATTTTTTTTTTTTTTTTTTGCCGACTAAACAATTGATCAAATGCGATTTTTTTTGGAATCTCTTCGTTCGTTTATAACCGTCGTACACGTGGATTTTCGTTTAGTCTTCGTAATGTCTCATTTTGACGATCGAAACATGTGCGAATAGAACATATTTATTTTCTTACATTTTATATGGAATAAAAAACTTGCACGTTATTTATCGTTTACGCATTCGAGAACCTAAATGTACTTGTGAGCTACGATTAGAGTCGACTTTCACGTGCACATATACATCGAACGTGGTTTTAGTAAAGTGCTTAATTTTGGAGTAAAAAACAGTACCACTTGTGGCTGTTTCTAAAAATTCTCCATTAATTATGCTAGTAATTTTATTAGCTAAAGTCGATCTAGAATATCCTCTCATTTTGGCATGCCTCCGTCTCGTATCTCGATGGAGCATGAATGCTTGTGGGAGGTAAAGCAAAGAGGGAATTTGCCTTCGGAATCCACACGATACTGTCTGGAACCGTTTCTCTAAGTTCCCAATAATTCTTTAATTCTTAAATATTGAATATATTCTTGTAGACTCTAAGTGTACGCAGAAACTATATATAGTATTTTTAATGATTTTAGGACCAGATAGGATAAGATATAAATCCAAGAACTCTAAATGTTTTGCATATCTGTCTGAGAACAATAAGGGAAAAAGATCTCGATTAAGGAGAAGAATAGTTTCAAATAGAAGAAGGGTTCACATCATTGGACAAAATGCTCGTCAAGCATTGCGTGACATTGGTAGAACATACTTGGACTATCTATCATACAGTTCACATAACTCTTGGGCATTTTCCAACTTGAAAAAGGAAGTTGGATATCAAAAATTCAACATTGCTTAAAAAATGAAAAATATATCTCTACAGCATGTGTTTGAGAAGCTTGTTGGAACATCGCAACTACTGTTTACAATATTAAGAGCAGCACTATTTTGAGAAAGAAAATCCATCACAGTGTCACTTAAGATGATTAAAAATTCAAATAAAATTTATTTTTGTGGAATAATCCTGTATAATTATTATATAAAAAAAATATTGAATGAGAAAATTAAGAAGATATAGCAATATTAATATATAAAAATATCAGCAATGTGTAAACAGTCACAAATACACATGGAATACAAAATAAGTTGCAAATACAAAATTGCATAACTTAAATAGGTAAGTTTCATAAATTATATATATATATAATTCTCTTCTCTCTCGCTCTCTCTCCCTTTCTTAAAATAAATTATTAAAAGCTTCTATAACATGATGATATTAGCATATGATATGATTGTGATATTACACACATTTTCCTCTAAGAAGAACTGACTTTATAAATTGCAGCTCTCTCTTTCACGACTATACATAAATTTCAAAATTAAATTCTAACATCTATGTTTTTATATGTAAACTTTAGGTTGCAAAAGCTGTTGTTGGCGATTTGACGATCAAGATAGTAGTAACATTCCAAGGATAATTACAAGGATCAGCTGAATAGTCTTTTGCCAAGATAATTTTGTTAATGTGGAGGATGTTATCTAGACTAGAGGAAAGACAAAATACTTTGCATAAATGACGTGATAAGCATCAGTATAAGAAACTTTAAAATTTAATACAAAGACAATGCAAGATAACAGAGAGTCAATGATTTAAAACAACTTTAAACTATTTTGCAATCAATGATATTGTACTGTATGATATTGCATGTCAATATAGATTTTGAAAAATTTAATAAATTTTATTATCTATATGTAAGTTCAGTCTTTTATTAACTATACCAAATGTTAACCTCAAGAAATTCACTTATCAACAACATAGCTTACAATCCCAATATTTTGCAGATACTGTGATATATTCGCGCTTCCTCCGGTTTGGCCAAACATCCGTAAAGATTGTTCAGCTTCAGACAATCGGTTTTACTCATCGCTTTTCGTTGACCGATCATAACACCAGGCGTTTTCGGTGTCAGAGTCGGTTTCATAGGATCTATGCTAAAAAAGTAGTTACCATAATGCATTATGCTATCGTATCCATACTCGTAGCTATATGTCGCGTTCTCCGGCGATTGCTTGTTGAAGTTTGATCGAAATCCTAATAATATACAAAAGAAGTGATCGTTAAGAAAATGTTCACAAAAATATTAATCCCATAATTATATAAGTTTGTGAATCTAGGAATAATAAATTTCTTACCAGGTATAATATTTTCATAATGTATATTTATATACATGTCTCTATCGGCACGACTGTGCTCGTGGAAGATACCGAGAGCGTGCATCAACTCGTGTATTGCTCTTCCCTCGTTTTCCAAGCAATTGGGTCCTTTCTCGTCTGGTGGTTCCAAGGAAAGGATCTGAGCTCCACCGAATTTGCCCACAAATGACCAGCATCTGAATTAATTTTTTATATACATAAAAAAGAAATTAATTTTATTTTTTAATATTGTTTTTAAAATGCATTCAATATTGCGTTTTACATAAAATGTAAGTATTTACCCTTTAGGATACATTATTGGCCAAATCAGCAAGAAATCCTTGACTTTACCATCCCATGGAATAAATTTGATGCATGTCATATAATTCATATATGAAATTGCTTTATATATTTTCATATAATCCACAGGATCTGGAGACAAAATCTTGTATATTATTTTCATGTTTTCATCTCCGTTTTTTCAAACACAATATCGAATGTAATATCAAATGTACAATTATTTATACATACATACCATATAGAGTGCTAATTACATAAGGAACAGTTCTATTTTGCCACAGTTTATCCGGGAAAACATCCCAACGTAAACCAACACGCCAATAATTGAAATACTAAACATAACAAAAAAATAATATAAAATATTATATAAGAAATATAATAGGAAAGAAAAAGATAATACCTCACTAGTCACGGCTATATCTCCCTCAAACAAACCGGGACGGACTTCCGGATCTTGCGATGACTCGTAAAGACGTAATAAATTATCTTGGTTCGATGTTCTAACTGTATAAAGCAGTTTTATCTTGTAACATTTGTATTTTCCGACATTATAATGCAAAAATGCCACTCTTTAACATAGCAATATTTTTTAAAGAGAGATAAAAAATCCGAAGCCTCGCGATTATAAGCTCCTGATATAATATAGATCTGTACTCACCTATATTAGGTACGATAGGGTGTATCGCGTTGACAGAAGTTTTATTTATTGGTAATGCGATTGTAATCGTTGTGCAAAATAAATATATGCATATTAGCAACTTAATTTTCATAATTATTTCTTTGTATCACACACTTTTGCAACACTAGCAATTTCTATGAGACGTTATTCGCGGTTTTTTTTCAAAAAGCAATGCCTTGACACGTGACAGGCAAAGTTAGGTAAAATCAGATTAGATTAACAGCTGATTGACGAAGCCAATGAGAGTCGGCGAAAGACGATTTAAGAAATATCGAGATTTTTTAATATTTTTTCAAGACAATTTAACATTAATTTAATTTAATTAAATAAACATTAATAAATGTAACATATCCTGTCGATTTTGTTAGCGTTGCCATAATGTACTTAGTATTTAAATATTATGAAAGTATAAATAATTGCATGTATATGTATTAAAGTAATTAAAGTTGAAGATTATGGGATTTTCGCGAAAAACAACTGAGCCAAATTTAGATCATGCAATTGCAGGAGCTGTTAGTGGATTTGTAACGAGATTTCTATGTCAGCCTTTAGATGTTATAAAGATTAGATTTCAAGTAAGTTTTATCATATAATATAAAATTTGTGATATATATTTTCTTCTGCTCGTGCAATTAGATAATTATTGTTTTTGCAGTTACAAGTTGAACCGATTTCAAAATGTCGCATTAGCAAATATAGATCTATACCACAAGCTTTTTTATTAATCTTGAGGGAAGAAGGAATTTCTGCTTTATGGAAGGGCCATATACCTGCACAAATGTTATCGATTACCTATGGGATGGCTCAGGTACAGAATAAAATTTGTCCAATAATATATTTTTAATAGCAATTAATATTAGTTAGTTTATACAGTTTAAGGATTTCTTATATCATATATATATATATTCTGACAGCAGGTCAATATATATATATATATATATATATATATATATATATTGTATTTCTCTCTTTTTTGCAGTTTTATTCCTACAATGTGCTTATGAAGATGATACAAAGAGTACCAAAAATTGAGCAATGGAATCATTCAATGCATTTTATTGCTGGTGCCAGTGCTGGAAGCATAGCGACAATCATTTCATTTCCTTTTGATACTGTAAGGACTAGATTAATAGCCCAGTCGAGTAAGCATCAAGTATATAATGGAATGTTACATTCCTGTAGGTGAGTTACAGAAAGATTATTTTCAATTCACATTAGTACTAATAATAAATATTATAACACAATATTTTTATTAGCATATATAAATATCTTTATATAAAAATGATATCTTTATATTTCAATAACATATATTTAATTTTTTTTCAGTTCGATTCTTCGACAAGAATCGCCGAAAGTCTTCTTCTCTGGTCTATTACCGACTTTATTGCAAATTGCTCCACACACTGGCTTGCAATTTGCATTCTATGAATTTTTCACAGATTTCTATAAAAGATATTCTTCTGGTATCGATACCAATTTCTATAATTCCATGTTATCTGGTAGCGCCGCTGGATTTATTGCGAAAACGATCGTCTATCCGTTTGATCTTGCTAGAAAGAGGTTGCAGATACAAGGTTTCCAACATGGTCGTAAAGGGTTCGGCAAGTTCTTTCAATGTAACGGATTACTAGATTGCTTGAGAGTGACTTTAAAAGAAGAGGGAGTGCAAGGTCTTTTCAAAGGTCTAGTACCGAGTCAGATAAAAGCTGCCATAACTTCAGCACTGCATTTTACCGTATACGAACAAGTTTTATTACTGTTAAGAATATTGTAATATAACAGCGAGTTTAAATGAGATTGATTTATTTTAATGTACATATATATGTATATTTACTACCCTTTTTATTGCAAATATACATTAATTTATTAATATAATTTGTATGTAAATTAATATATTAATTTGTACTCTTTGTAAAAGACTAATTTCTTCAGTATATATATATCTGTAAATAAAAATTATATAAATTCTAAATTATTAAATATATAAGTCATATAAGTTTATCATTGATTCTCTATTCTGACCTATAAATATATATCACAATATGATTATTAAAAATCAAGATTATACATTCCATTCATATTAATAATGTATATAGCTATATTAAATTAAGTTGTGCAGGCATATTTTCAGGCGTTCCTTCTAGGACAGCTATAATATTTTTCGCTGTAATTCTGGCCATTTCATCTCTAGTCTCTATGGTAGCACTTCCTATGTGAGGTAGAACCACTAAAAGGAAAAAAATGAAAATAAATATATATATATTATTTCGGGTGCACACAATTTGTCTATGTGTGTGTGACCTAAATCTATATCAATATACCTACCACAATTATCTAATTTTAAAAGTTCATGATCTAATGGTATTGGTTCTGGTGTTACAACGTCTAAACCAGCTGCTGCAATTGTGCCATTCTTCAAAGCGTTTATCAGCGCTTCTTGATCCACTATGTCTCCGCGACTACCGTTCACGAATATAGCCGTTTCTTTCATTTGCTTGAAAGCCTCAGTGTTAAACATATGTTTCGTTTCTGGTGTCAGAGCTACAGTCACTATGACAAAGTCACTGTTCTTGAGTAATATGTCAAATTCAACTTTTTCACCACCGAATTTGGACGCTTCCGGTTTGATTGCTCTGCTCGTATACAACATTTTAGCAGTGTTGAAGTTTTTGAGCAGCTCTGCAACCCTGAGGCCAATTCTACCCAAACCGACAATTCCTACAGTTTTCCCTGACAACCCTGTACCACACATCCATCTCGGTGACCAGGTTTTCCACTCGCCCCTGCAATAAATGAAACAATGTGTTTTAGTTCATAGATTGCAAAGATTATATATGCTTTTGTGTTCTTAATATTTAACTTACTTGTAAATTGCTTTATTCGCTTGCAATAAATTTCTCGATGTGGCTAATAAAAGACCTACTATCAGTTCTGCAGTTGCTTCAGTCAGAACATCAGGAGTATAACCGACTCTGATATTTCTTCTCTTTAAGGCGTTTAAATCTAGGTGATCGACGCCTACTGACATAGATGCCACAACTTTCAATTGTGAACCTGCAGCTGTCAAAACCTCATCGTCTATCTTATCCGTTAGCACACAATACAGAGCATCTACTCCACGGATTCTAGATAATAATTGTGATCGTGGTATCGGTCCAGGTTTATCCCATAACATGGTCTGATATCTATAAAAATAACATAATAAGTCCTGTCAGATAATAAGTAACAACTACATATATATTGCGTTATTAAATTTCCTATGATATTTGTTTCATGATATTATATTGTATAATTATTTAAAATTTATACATGAAATTAAATAAAGAAGTTAAACGTATAAAATTAATTATAAAAACTAATTATAAAATTATAAAAACTAAAAAAATACAGAAGAATAATAAAAATCATGTTTTACAATACAATAAAATAAATTGTTTTCAGCAATAAAAATTTACTGTAAATAGAATATTCACCGTTGATGCAGTAAAGATAAGCCTGCAACAGGTATGTCCGGTCGTGTAATTAAGATTTTAGGTTTATTCATTTCGACAGAACTCATTAGGATTTTCGGATAATTGCAAATTGTTGGGTTGACCCGGTTCGAAAAAATAAATCCCTCGCTTCGCTTAAACAAACTGATAGCCTTCCTGTATTGCATTATGTATTATCATTTATATTTTTACTTCGTGCGACTTGTTAACGAACTAACCTCTCGAACTAACCTCTGGAAATCTTGTAAATCTCTGAGATTTTTTTGTAGAAAATAGACGAAATGTCTACTTCTTCCTTCTTTGGATTAAAAACTCATTTATATATAAATAATATAAATAAGTGATGATTTTTGGAAACCTTCTCAGCGGGTGATAATTTATGGTTCTTCTTTTTCAGGTGTTTTTAACTTCACTGTGTTCTCAATCTTTTATTGAGACACTGAAAATTCACACTTCAAGATGAAGGATGCTTTCCAGCAAGTTAGACAGATTAACACAATGTAACGTATAACACTGAGCGCATCCAGTATCTAGTAGCACAACCATGACCACTTACTGAGCACTCAGTGAATACTATTGAAGCAACGCTTTTTTATGCAACTATTTCTTCTTAGAGAAATAAAATGTACATTAAAGAATGACTCTTTCTTGTGTAACAATTCTTTTGACATAGCCATTGACCTAACAACTTTATTTAACAGTTTGCAGTTTGAAATGTCTGATGTATTATATGCTTTCAAACTAATAAATCTAATAAACAGCAAAGAGATTCAAGTAAATACGATCATTGCAATTAAAAACTAGATATTCTAAAATTTTGGAAACAAAGAATTTGCATTAAAAGCAACAATTAGAAATTAAACAACAATTACTTATAATATTTATTTATAAATCTTTCAAGCAAAGTATGGTAGCGAAAATAAAAATTTTAATGAACTTAATTTGTCTTATTTAAATCTAGAACATAATTTGCCTTCTCTTTTACATATGTGCCTGCTGCAATTATATAATAACAAATTTACAATTAAAAATTTGCTACAATTAGATACTGATAAGAGAGAGATCTCAGATACACAAAAACAGTGTTTGATTTATAAAGAGAGAATATGTTAATATATTTTATATATATATATATATTTATTATTAATGCAGTTAGTAGAAGACATTCCATAACAATTGTTTGAAAAATATATATAAGATTAGCAAAAAGATATGTGTAATAAAATGTGTATAAAAAAAAGGAATAGGTTTCATTTTTTTATACATTTTTTTTTCGGTTCAGCTGTTGTACATAGTGTGTGCTTTCCTGATAATACTGCATAAATTGATGAATAAAACGACTTTATATAACTTCCTTTGCAAAAATAATACTACAGAATACAAGAATCGTCAAATAAAAGACTTATAACAAATTATACTGCTTATCAATTATACTGCTTATCAAATGCTTTGCTATCCTCTAAACGATCGGACTGATTCGCGTCCTTCTGATTCCTCATGGCGGCCGTGACCGTGTTCTTCATCAACATCGCCACCGTCATGGGGCCTACGCCGCCTGGCACTGGTGTAATATGTCCGGCGACTTCCTTTACACTATCGTAATCCACATCTCCCACCAGGCGAAATTTGCCGTCCGCCGTCTTCACCCTGGTGATTCCCACATCAATTACGCAAGCGCCCGGTTTTATCATTTCCTTGGTGATCAAACCGGGAACTCCAGCCGCCACCACGACTAGATCCGCCAGCTTCGTAAATTTTTCTAGTTCTGTATGAGGAGTGTGAATATGGCAGATTGTCGTTGTCATATCCAAAGCACCCGTTTCGCCTAAAAATAAAATACGTGATTGGTTTGGAAAATAATAGATGAAAGAAAAACATAAGAAGTTTGATGAAATTTATGTTATTTGTTAATAATAAAATTTAAATCTTTAAAAAAGTTTTTATTTATAAAGAAAAAAAGATATTAAAATATATATTAAATAGAGAAATATTAAGTTGCATAAATTTATCACTGGTTAATGATATGACTTTACTTTTATGTGTTAACACAATTTTGCTATTAAATTAATATTACCTTTGCCATCTGCGTGAAGTAACAATGCGATAGGCAGTCCAACATGTTTTGATCTACCAACAACCACAGCATTCTTTCCAAATGTCTCAATTTTACTCCTAAGTATTAATTCCTTGACAGCCAGAGGAGTGGCTGGCACAATACTACTCTTGTCCAGTGTCAGATTGCCAAGATTTACCAAATGGAAACCATCTACATCTTTTTTAGGAATTATTGCTTGGCATACTTCTTTGTCATTCATGCCCTTTGGCAATGGCAGTTGTACCAGAACACCATCGACAGATGGATCTTTGTTAAGATTATCAATTTCCGTAAGAAGTTCCGCTTGCGTTATATTTTCTCCCAAATGAATGGTGTAACTCTCAATTCCTAATTATTAATAAATAAAATATTAGTATAGGTAAATTTGTGCCGGTGGTTGGTGGTCAGAATTGAAAATATATTTACCTACTACTTTTGCTGCTTTCATCTTTTTACCAATATATGCTTTGCTAGATGGGTGATTTCCCACTAAGATCGCTACTAGCTTCGGTCTTTTTTTTCCTGCATTTACACAAGTATCTATAACAGCTTTCAACTCCTCTTGAATCTCATCTGCTATTTTTGACCCATCTATTATCGCAGCTTCTTGCCTGCAAATAAAATTCAAAATTATTCTATATACAAATCTATATCCTTTATATTTACAATATAATTAACAAACTTTCATTTTTATCAAGATTATAATATTGATTATTAAAAATTCTTGAAAAATTGTCATCTTTTTACGTATTATTTATTAATAAATATTTTATAATTTTATTATTATACTATATAATAAGTATGTTTTTTACACATATATATATTAAGATATTATAATTTATTATTAGGTATATATTCTTTGCATTGCAGATTTAAAAAATCATTCATATATCATACAAGTATCTGACAAAAGAAAATTATTTTTGCACTCACCGGATTTTTGACAGGTGCAGTTTTCTCGCAAAACTCTGCGAGATGACGGAGAAGATGCTCCTCCGGGAGAACATTGTTTGTCGTTGTTGCTTCGAGGGATTCAATCACTCTTCTGAAATACATACTGTTGCATACTGTTAAAAGATATGCCGAGGAATTTCGGTCACAAAAAGCTTGTGTAATCCCTATTACGTTAGCGATAATAAAGCGATTATGCCATTTTCGAGCAAACAGCTGTCGTAAAAACAATATAGCTTGCAGGGGGTCGATAATACTGACGTTTCGCGCAAAGTTTATTGCGAGATCGATTGAGACTGTGAGTGAAAGGCGAGATCGGACCAGTCTCGCCTTTCCCTA